TGTAAGATTCCAAATTAGAAAGTTTTTTTTTTTTTTTTTTGGTTTTCATTTTGTCGAGAGAAAAGCTTTCTCGGAACTTATTTTATGTTTTTAACTAATTTTTACCCCTCATATGTGTAAGATTTCCAATTAGCAAGTTTTTATTTATTTATTTATTTTTTCATCTTTAGAATAACTTTTTCTTTTCTTATAAAAATTCACGAGATTTATTAATAATTGAAAAGGATTACATGGAAATTTCAATAAATTTGTTTTATAGGTATAATAAAGTGAAGCTAAACTTATAATAATAGTAATAAATAATTTTGCGCATGACATACATGGATAATTAACTATAAAAAGCCATTAATTATTAGAGATTACATAAGTAATTGTTGTAAAGGAGCAAAGAGCCATCAAACATATTAGGACTACATGATTGTGTGTCCAAAGCTTTTAAAAAGTTTCATATGATCCAACTTCTAGGGCAAAAAGATTAGACAAGGACTCTATCTTTTGATCATGTTGTTGACAAACAAAATAAACTTTGCAACTTGATCAATTCTTATCCAATATAAAAATTTAATAATTAATTAATTTTTTTACCAAAGTTATTAATTTTTTTGTTGCACAATAAAATATAACTCTCTTATCTCTTTTTGTCTACTCTACTCACATACTACAATTCAAATTTATAATTTCTTACTTTATTTGAAACAAAGATCAACACCAAACTAACTACTTTAGTCATTAGTAAATTATCAACTTTTTTATAATATTTTTCTAGGTAAAACTTCATCAAGAAGCGCTAATCACAAACCAAATGCTCCTAAGTTAAGAAGTTTCAAGTGCTATTACGATATGATTGATCCACACATGAGAGATTTCTTTTTTTATTATTTTTCTTTAGGCATGAAGTTTGTGTGTAGAATAATTGTAGAATTGGTTGCCTAAGGCAAAAAGGGAGACGAGTTTCGCGAGGCAAAATTACCCCAGTGTGAATTCGTTCATATGGGACTGTCATCTCTTGTAAAAAAGTAGCTTTATTAGCTCCAATCCTTAGTTATGGTCTCACAATTAAAAATTTAAAAGCAATGTGAATCAATTAAAATAAATTTTTAAGATTTGAGTTTGAGCCTTTTCATATAAATTTTATAGATCTCATTTCACTTATTATAGTTTAACTTTAAAAATATTTTTAAATATTTTTCTATGAATATAGTAAATATTAACAGTTAAAATTGTTCATAAGATAAAACTATTTCACTAAATAAAAATTACATATAATTAAAAAATATAATAAAAATACATGTTTAATAAAAAAATTGTCACATAATTAAATAGATCCACAACAAGTGAATGGAAGGATCGTTACTAGCATTTTAAAAATATAATAAATATTATAATGATTTGTTAGAGGAAATTGTTGACAAAGTAAGACAGCATATATTGGAAAACTCAAGGGAGAGTCAAAAGATGAAAAAAGGGTCAAAGTACGCGTAAACACATGCGGCTAAAGCCCACACGCTTTTGAAAAGGCGTTTGCAGCAAAGAGCAATGCTAGGGGTACTCGCTTTTCGCACTCTCCAGTCAACACTTTCTCATTCATTGGGCCACGTTATCTTGGTCAGCAAGAAGTTGCGCTTGAAAGCTCTAAAAAAGTTTACGTGACCCAATGAAAGAGGAAGTGTTCGCCAGAGAGTGCGAAAAGCGAGTGCCCCTGGCATTGCTCTTGCAACAAAACAGGTTGTTTCAACACCCAGTTCCGTCCTGGGAGGGCCAAGGCCAGGGCAAGGGCCAGGACCCCAACTGCCCCTCCCCCTCCCCTACTGGCCCCTTGTACCTTCCCACCTGCTTGCCACTGCTCAAATATGGTCGTGCGCTCTAAGACGCACCCACAAGCGCGTCATAAGAGTTGATACAATTGTTCTCAACAAGTACGTGCGCTAAATCTTACTTACTGCTGTTAACTGCCACTCCCTCGTCGTTTGGTGTACAAATTCCACGTCGACTCCCTTAATTCACGATACCCACTTCAATTTTATATACCATATATCCTCTAGAACAGGCTTCTTCTTATATATATCACACACGGGATAACACCTTCAAGCCTCAAGCTCTTAAAAATTTGGGATCACCTAATTAATATCGTGTTCGTAACCATGGTCGTACCGTCTCCAACTTCGATGAGAAGCAGGAAGACAAAGGCTGTAGGGATTCCCGTCATCGATCTTTCTCTCGACAGGTCAATCTTGTCGGAACTAGTCGTCCAGGCCTGTGAAGATTACGGGTTTTTTAAGGTTGTTAACCATGGAGTTCCAATGGAAGTTGTGTCCAAATTGGAAAATCAAGGGACTGAATTTTTCTCCAAACCGGCGGCTGAGAAGAAGAAGGCCGGACCGGCTACTCCTTTTGGTTATGGTTGTAAGAACATCGGGCAGAATGGCGATATGGGCGAGCTCGAGTATCTTCTTCTCCACACTAATCCTCTCTCCATTGCTGAAAGATCCACCACCATCTCCGACGACCCTCAACAATTCAGGTACATGTATATATTAAACTTATTTCAATTAAAACTAACAACTGAGATTAGATATCACAACATTGATGATATACATATCCTAGAGATTTCATGTCTTGAAATTAGGATCATAACATTTCTCATTTTAACCCCATTGAAACTTGAACATTATCTACATTGCACATACAAAAAGGAATATCATTAATATCAAAAAAGCTTTCAAGAACCATAAGAATAGGGAATTTCAGGTTTATGTTTCTTTAGTGTGATACAAGGTTGCGGGGTTTATGCATAGTTTTTGGCGTGTTTGATTCATTTACTAAAAATTGGGTTAATTAATTAATACTGTAAAAA